CATACTATTCTCACCAAACTGTAATAACTGTGATTAAATTCAGTGTAAACAAATGCCATATGTTGCCACCCATCAAAAATTCCTGCCCCCCTCTCGCCACCCCATAAAAAATTTTCTAGATCCGCCCCTGAGAGGGAGAAAGAAAAGTCACAGTCAACCACACAAATTATGCTACTCTTCTCATGCTCTTCTGTGCGCTGGTGCACTGGCCTCCAATCAGACGTCCCAGTAATAAATGAGCTTCTATCAGTAGTCTTTTCAAATGCAATACATACAAAACAAAATAAAGCATGACGTTTCTCACAATATGTGAGCTTCCTGTTGGTTGCATTTTCAGTGGTGAACACCTTTTGCACAACTGAGTTTTTTGTGCTTTGTTGTGGGGGGTGATTCAAAAAGTTTTGTAAAAGACAAGGATCAGGACGGGCAAAGTAATCTATTACCTCCTGCTCTCATCTCTCATCTCTCTCGCCATGTCTCTCCTCAGCCACATCATGTTCAATACTTGGTCGCCGTCGCCTCCACTAAAACCACAGACATCCCAAGTTCCAAGAACTCATTTCAGGGAGATGCTTAATGAAGGTCAATGGTGCCTTCATCAGTAGTGGATTAGAGTTATACAATGAAGTTCACCAGAGGGCCAATTCAATTCAGTTTGCTTCAGGTAGATATTTCATAAAGCAGAAAATAACAATCTCATTGTACAATTTATTTATGATGCTTTATAATAATAAATAAGTGACATAAAATATTTGCTCGCGTGCTTGCATTAATTATCTGTGACCATGTTTTTATAAAATAAATAATTGCCCCAATTTTTTTTTTTTTTTTTGCTCAGGTGCTCTGTGCGCTTGCATTTCATTTGGTGCCCTATTGTGCCCCTGTATAGTACTGGGTCAGCTGACGCCTCTGGCCGCACCGTGCCTCATACATGCACTCCATCATTCTTCACCTTCACGAGACATGGAGACACTTTCTGCTGCAAAATGAGGAGACTGTTAAAGAGTAAACTGAAACTTATTGCCCTATTTTTCTGACTGATCCAATCAGCTCTCTGATCAACCAGTCGCCTGGATCGCTGGTTGATCAGGGCATCACTGTGGACAGATACGCTGCACAGGTTTCACCAGCAACCTCCTCCTCACACCTCTGTTGTTCCTGCGCAATCGCAGTAGATCTAATCCACACATGATGCATGAATTATTGTACTGCCTGCTCGCTCTCACTGGCATTAAAGAAGCACCACCTCCCATAGTCTAAAATCTAAAATATTTATCCGACTCGCGGGCATCAGTGAACAACTATCTATATCAGGGAGACGCCTGAAACTTCTGGGAGACTTGGGATGTCAGCAACCACCATCATATTTACCATCAGACACCGGAGCAGATGAAGGGCCTGCTGATGGGAACATGTCAGTCAGTTTCTCTGCGCCTTCTTCTCCATTCCTACTGTGAACACTAAGTTCCAGTGGAGGTGAAGGTGTTTCTCTACTCTCTGATTGGCCGAGCCCTTCATACGGTCAGGGATGATAACCAATGGGCTGCAGTAGCCTGAGGTAAGGACCGGGGGGTCAGAACAGACTCTTGCTGCTGATTTTAGTTTTCTTCATGCAGTATGCAAATATAACGAGGCCGATATAATAATACTAATAATAATATTAATAACAATAATAATAAAAATAACAATAATAATAATAATATTAATTATAACAATAATAATAAAAATAATACATATTATTAATATACGTGTGGGGTCTGCCGGCCCAAACAGCACGTCCGCTCACCGGGCAAATGGCCGGTACGCCCGATTACCAGTCCATGCCTGAAAGTAACTATTGCGTTACTTTTGCGTTTCTCGCCCCTGTAACCCTCCCCACCCAGCCCCCACCTTCTCGCCGTGTGTTTCCAAAGCCAGCTGAATAGAGCGGACGACAAAGACAAGAACCTGCAGAGAGTTTAGCATTTATTGCAACTCAACCTAAATGACATCAGGGGGGGAACGCTATCTGACGGGGTTTATAGGCCCGTCAGACAGTGTTCCCCCCTGTTCTTAACATGGGGGAACGCCATCTGATACGGTGTAAATATCATCAGGCTGCATTATCTCTCCTCATGGGAGTGAATTTTTTTAACAGGACATTCAGATCTGCTGAAATTAATAACTGGGGATGTTTAATTCTGAAATCCTGTGTGTTTGGGTTGTTATAGATACTGCAGCGTCTATCCGTTAGTTTAAACGCCATTACTCCCATCACAGAGGCTAATAAAGACCTCAGAAACCCCCATTCCAAAGGGGGGGACCCGTTCATCCGTTTCTATTTGCATGTTTTCTAAACTAAAACCAGGCTTTGTTGGACTGCTGGATAAAACCTGGAACTAAACGCTATTTCTGACATTTTGAACTGAAAAAACTTCCTGGATGGAAGAGAAACGTCTTCAGACTTGGAAACAAAGTCCAGAGGATTGATTTTAACTTTTTAGGGATGCCTATGACCTGGATGACTGAGACTCTTCACCTGCATATTCATATTAATAATAAAGACCAAAGAGCTGTCCAAAGACACCAGAGACCAAAATGTCCTCCTCCATTTATTCTCCTAAATTAGATGGAAGAAGCAGATCTAGGTTCTAGCATGGCCTAGCCAGTCCCCAGACCTAAACCCAATAGAGAATCTTTGGAGGAAGTGACAGCCCAGAAACCTGACTGATCTACAGTAGATCTGTGTGGAGGAGTGGGCCAAAATCACTGCTGCAGTGCAAACCTGCTGAAAAACTGGACTTTTACCTTCTGAGCTCTGATTGGTTAGTTTCCTGCAGGTGAGGGAGACCTGCTGCCTGATGACATCACTGCTGCAGAGGGACAACAGGAAGTGGAGGAGGACGTCCTCAGAGTCTCCATCAGTCCCCTGAGAGACAAAGACAGGTTAATAAACTCACCTGAAGCTGATTCAGCTCAGACTGAGCAGGTACTGACCAGGCTCCGCCCCCTAGGAGTCACACTGATGTGACCTCTGACCCTGACCGCTCTCTGAAGCCCCTCCCACTGAGGATCAGCCAATCCCAGCAGACTCTGGACCTGTTTCCCTGACAACCAGACCTGAGCCTCAGCCGTCCCATCGTCCACCACCAACCTGAGGGAGAAACAGAACCATCGGGTCAGACGGTACCGGGTTCAAATGTAGGGTCAGACGGTACCAGGTTCTAAAGGCGGGTCAGACGGTACCAGGTTCTAAGGTCGGGTCAGACGGTACCAGGTTCTAAGGTCAGGTCAGATGGTACCAGGTTCTAAAGGCGGGTCAGACGGTACCAGGTTCTAAAGGCGGGTCAGTCGGTACCAGGTTCTAAAGGCGGGTCAGACGGTACCAGGTTCTAAAGGCGGGTCAGACGGTGCCAGGTTCTAAAGGCGGGTCAGACGGTACCAGGTTCTAAAGGCGGGTCAGACGGTGCCAGGTTCTAAAGGCGGGTCAGACGGTACCAGGTTCTAAAGGCGGGTCAGACGGTGCCAGGTTCTAAAGGCGGGTCAGACGGTACCAGGTTCTAAAGGCGGGTCAGACG